TCAATTCTCTTCTTTGCTCTGTTCCCTTTGACTGTTGCGTGGAAAAACTGAGTATTTCTTTCACCACATCTCATCCATTGAGCTCTACTTTTCTTCTTCCAGAAAACTTCCTCATCTCTATAAGCCAAGGAAAGTTCCTTTTTCAGAAAATGAATATGATTCAAAGCCGGAAAAAAGGAAGACTGTTCGATCTCAAGGGCCATTTCCATCTGATGAATCTTATCATTAGCATTCGTGCAGTTTGACTTTTTCCAAGCACTTAAAGCCTTCCTACACAACCTCAACCTATCAGCCACAGAAGCTATATAGTTAGAGGAATCAGTACTCCATGCGCGAATCACCGCTTCTTCAACATTGGGTTTGTAAAGGAACCTCTTGTCAAATCTGAATTGTCCTCTATAAGTATCCTGCGAAGAAAGCAACTTCAACAACACATGCCTATGGTCAGATCCTCTAAAGTCCAAGAAAGTTTGGTTTGAAACAGGAAACTGTACAAACCATTCTTTATTACCAAAAACTCTGTCAAGCCTACTCTGAATCCACAAATCATATCTTTTTCCAGCCCAAGTAAAACTATTTCCTTGACTAGGTAACTCCTCCATGTTACACGATCTTAGCATCTCAGAGAAAGGCTTGAAGTAAGAGTCACACCGCCTAGGTCCACCAAGCTTTTCACCATTGTGAAGAATATCATTAAAATCCCTCAGCATACACCAACTTTCTCTTCTTCCCACGCCTATTCTGCTGAGTCTTTCCCACACTATTTGTCTTTTCTTAAAATCTGGGTCTCCATATACAAAAGAAACAAAAAAGGAGACCGCTCCAAACTGAACATGCAAATCCACCAGATTCTTGTCTGCAAACTTTACATCCACTTGCACGCTGCTCTTACAAAACACCGCTAAACCACCACACTTTCCTATCGGTTCCACAGTATACACTCTGTTATAACCCAGCCACTCTTGAACATCCACCAATGTATCCCTATCATGCATCGTTTCCATCAAAAACAACATCTCAGGAAAATGTTTTTTACGCAATTCCCTAAGACGAGGAAAAGCCAAGTCTTGAGACCGTCCCAAGCCTTGGCAATTCCAGCTCATGATGCTCATTGGGCATTGGGCAATCCCTCCTTTGGGATCACCTCTCTGGGATTAAGCTTTGAGAATTTTGCAGTGCTTGTTCCCTCTTCTGCTGCTTTCCTCTTGTCATTAGAACCTACAGACTTCCCCTTTTTTAACTTTAAGACCTCACCCTCAGTTGGAGGCTTGAAAGGTTTGGGTTTCCTTGCACTCTTCGTCGGACGTTTCCTAGCCTTAGCCTTTTTAGAGGTAAACCCGGACGGACCAGCCTCAGAGAAACCGGTCCTAAAAACCGTTGGATTACTCTGAAAAGGCTGAGACAAGGCAAGAAAATTAGAATCTTGCACAAAGGGAAGATTAGAATTAGATTCCACCAACCAGGATCGGTCTTGAGACAAATGGGGAGTAGAAGACCTGGAGACTAAACTCAGCTCAGTTGAAGCAGATATTGACGCTTCACTATCATACCCAAATACCACTCCTTTTCCAACAGTAGCATCCAAATGCAAAATTGGAAGAGGTTCAAGTCTCAAAACAGATTTTTTAGCAATAGGATCTTTTTCAGCTTCACCCACTGTTTTCTTCACTCTTGCCATCTTTATGGAAATGTCTTCTCCATTAGCCATCATAAGGTATTGTCTCATACCTTCTAGGACTTCAGCTGCTATTCTCGGCCTACCCGTAGAAACATCAACACCTACTTGGTCTTCTCTCAAGACACTAAACAGAGGATCTGATTCTTTCAGGACTGGAGGCTTCTTTATCTTCTCCACAGGTTTACCCATTCTTCTAGCTGCTGCTGCATCTTGACCTCTTTTTAGAAAAAAAGGACAAGCTTCTCTTTCATGAGTTAACCTTTGACATTCGTAACACCTCTTTTGTACTCTTTCATATTCAAAACGCACCACTGTGGTCCCTTCTTTCATGTTTATCACTTTGGATCTTCGTAAAGGTCTGGAAATATTGAAAAGAACTTTCACTCTGACGAACTCTAGAACTTGAGGCACATCCGGATCAAAGGCAACCTCTGTAACCTGACCGATTAACTCTCCAAGTGAAGAAATGGCCAGAAAGGTGTAGTGGTTGATTGGGATGTTCCAAATCTGAACCCAAATGGGCATGAACATCAAGTAATTTTCTGGTGGATACTCATACCACCTATCCACCATAATCGACCACTCATTGTAAGTATGAGCACCTTTATTGAGCACATCTAGGAGATCAAACTCACAGTTGAAGATAAACTGAAATTTTTCACTAGTAAGCGCCACTCCTCTAACTTTTCCCAACTTTTGCCACTTTCTTGGCATGTCTCTAATGAGATGCTTCATCACTTGACATTCAGGATTCAGAAGTCTTCCTACCAGACTTAGGACATTTCTCTCACACGACGAGTACTCCGGCAGATCCGGCATCTCAAAGGGGATTTCTTCTTCCTCTTCTTCTTCCAACGACATTGCCAACATGGCCTTATCCATAGCTGCAGACATACTTTGATTTCTCAGAAGAAACTCAAACCACCGAACCAAGAAAACAAGAACGAAAACGAACGGCAACACAAACAAGCTAACAACCACTTCGAACTGCAACACAATCAAGCTTACAACACCACCTAGAACAGAACCAACTTCCAGCGAAAAACCAAGAAATTTGGAAGAACTCTCAAGAACAAACAAAGAAAACAAGGACGATTAGATCTAATTTTATGTTACGGCTGCGCAAACAGGACAAACTCACAAACGAAACACTTTTTTTTTCCACAAAAGCTCTCGTCTCACCCTAATAAGAGACACTAGTTAAAATAGAAGGTCCTAAGCCCACAAAAGGGAATCAATTTTGTTTTTTCCGAACAAAATTCAGACTGCTTCATTTTTCTAACTTCAACCTTTGCATTAACTTTTGGACTTGTTTGCCATATAACACAATTTTGGTCAAAGTTGACAAAAACACGTGCTGTAAAAGTGTAAATGAGTGATGTGTTTTTTTTTTCTTAATGTGAAAAACACAGTATGAAAGAACCTAAGAATTTCTGTAAAAGTCCCCTGATGTTATTTCGTTCGTCGATGGATTATCAATGATCTTCATGTAGAACGTCACATCATATAAAATTAAGAAAATAAAGGATTATAAATAAAATCAAAACCACAAAAGAAGTAGTGAAAATTGTAAAATCTTACAAATATGTTCGTTATGACTTATGATATAGAACACCATGCAGTTGTTATTATTAGTCAACGTTTGGGTCGAGTACAATGGCCCACACGAGCAATAGGACAGTGGTTAGAAGTTAGTAAATGGTTACGTGTTTCCAATTTTCAAAGCTCATAATCAAAATCATACTCCAACTTTATTGTCATCTACACAAATTTATAACCATGACTTGTCCGACTAGGACTATAAAGTCTTGTCCGTTCGTTCCCGAAAATAATACGTTTCATAATCTGCGCATATACGTAAAACCAGCTTCTAATAATTATCATAACATCTCTAAGTCTAGAGTACAACTCATCATTCTCCGACTTATACAATTATTGTTGTAACTATTACGCTTTTTAGGCATCTACAAATTATTGGCGTATCTTTAATAGGTCAATGGTTCTTTATTTCCTCTAAATCTTTTAAAACGAAAATTGTAAAATCAAGCTATAAATATGAGACCAGTCGATACTTTTCCAAATACTAAAATCAAAAGTAGAATGAATTAGTACATCTCATAAGGAAAAATAAAAATAAAAGAGAGAAGTTAATTCAGATATTGCAAACTTATATGTAAGGAACAGAGTATGCAGTACGACACGAGTACATATGCGGCTTTGTAGTGAAAATGGGAAAAACACCAAACTATAAATGCTTTTACTACTTTTTACATTCGTTTTCTATAATAATATTTTATTACTTGTTTTCATTTTTTTTATAATATGGTCCTGCTGCATACTTACACGTGCAAGTACGATATAAATATTAATCATGATTTACATTGATACCTTACAAAAATTAATAAATTATCATCAAAGAGCAATAATGAAATCTACATAGCTGTCGACAAAAACCTATGGGTCCAAACAAACATGCATAACCAGACAAACAAATTAAAGTACTTAATTAGGATTTGATTTGTTAAGAGAGATTTGTTTGAAAATAAGGGGCAAATCACTGATTTTACTGATAACACAAAATGGAAACAAAATAAATCCATCACTCACAATTGTTTTCTGGCGGATTTTGTCGAATAATTTACCAAATGTAGTTTCAAAAGACAGAAAAAAAGAAGAAAAAATTTAATCAAGGGATTTAATTCACAACAGTACAAAAGATATTTGAACATAGCCTTCTCTTTTCATTTTATATGTTTTTAAAAAATTGTTAAAGTTGGTTCATCAATTGTATACCGTGTTGTCTATTTCTATATGGTTTTCACATTTAAATAACGAAATTTGTGCTAATTAGTAGTTACCATTCAAAATATTGTTACAATGCTGATGTTTTAAAAACAATTTATATATATATATATAGAGGTGTCAGAAAATACTCAAAAAACACTACGTCACTAATCTAGTTAAACCTAATTTTTAAAACGTTTTACTATTATTTTACAGAAATTCTATTTAGCTAAATGTTTTTTGTCATTACTATATAATGATATTTCACTATTTATACGTACCCGTCTAAAACCATTGTTATTTCATTTCACCGATTACAAACGATTTGTTTTGTGTATGACAGTTTTATTTTCTTACAAGTTATAACAAAGAAAAGATAGAAACACTACCTGAATTAGACATCTGCAATATCATTTGGTTCTATAATGAAGCAAGTAATATCATTTGGTTCTATAATGAAGCAAGTGTCATTAGGGTAAAAATGATGAGTACTCTCTTTCTTTCTCGGTACTATCACCCCTCAAAAATTTGCCTTTTCCCAAAGTCCTCAATTTCTTCACATGACCAATTTTTTTATATTAACATATAGATTTCATTACAATAATTAATCAGACAAGCACAAGAAATGAGGAACAAAAAACAAAACAAAAAGAATTAAAACACTTTTTTTTTCCGTGAATTGTTTAATCATTGATCAAAGTTTAGGGCATGAAGAGCTTGCTGCCACACTTGCACCGCCAAGCTTCAGGGTAATACTCCAATGGCATACTTAAACCGGGTTGAATCGGTACGTGAACCGGTTTACACGGCTGACATTTCCCACACTTCGATCTACACGTCGGTGGTGATGAACCCGGACCACCAAACCTCTTATTATTCTCCACGAACCCACCCGGTAAATCCGACCCGGTTCTCTGACCAATCCATCTACCATCTGGTAAATAAATTTAACCACCACTGAGTTAACTCGCTCGCCATTTACACATCAAAAATATTTAACCATTGGACTAAAAAAAGATAGCTTGTGTAATAACTGGAACCAAAATTTCGTATGAAATCAAGAAAATTTCGAGTTCGAGTTGCAAGAAAAATAAACCACATTTTATTGGGTTCTTACCGGCGGAGACTACGAAGGAGGCGGAGAAGAGGTGGAGGAGAGCAAATGCGGCGAGTGAAGCTAAAAGAAAGTGACGGCGGCGGCGACGGAAGGCGCCCATTAGTCAAGAACCGGCAAGGATGCGTACGTTAGCAGAGAGACAAGTGTTGTGGTTAAAATGGTGTGTTTTATTTTTCTCTGTGAGAGAGATTTTTTGGGTTTATGTTTGAGTGTTTGGGGTTTGGGGTTATTCATTTTGGTCTTAAGTCAAAAGAAGCTTAGATAGAGAGAGTGTGTGTGTGACTGTGAACAGTAGAATAGACCCATGAGCTTGGATTTGGAATCCAAGTATTAAATTCAAATTGCTATCTCTTTTTTTTTTTTTTTTTTTTCTTTTTGACTGTATTTTTTTTTCTCCTGCTTTTATATATTCAATTATACTTTAGTGAGACTGTGAGAGTGTTCACTTAAATATTAACCTTCTTTTCTTTCTTAACATTATATATTTTTTAAAGTATGTTTTATAAAGATTCTATAATATTTCTTATTCCATTCCTATAACTTGCCCTTCCTTAAATCAAACTATGGTCATTGGGATTCTCTTTAAAGAGATCCAGAGAGATTATATCCTGAAAAGTGAAAGTTCAAACAAAAATATAGAGGTTCCAAATTAACAATTATGACAAGTAATTAAATTAGTTGAGCAACTAATGAGTGGGGCTCAGAGTGTAGGCAAAATAAATAGGTTGGGCTTTATGGAAATTTCTGGTCAGGTTTTCTTTTCATGTTTCTTTTTATTTTGGCAACCTTTTGATGTTTCTTTTTCTTTTTAGGTTTTCAGTCCTACATTAAAATTATTTTATTCATTTTCTTTCTTGTGTAATGTTGATATGTATCTCTCACTTCATTTATATAAATTAGTTTCAGCTTTTTAGTATATTTTGGTGTCACGTATCTCCTACTCGTTTTGTCATATCGTGTAGGGGCCTTGACTCTTCTAGCATGATCGCATCCGGGGATACGTAGACATGCACACGAATCTGGAGTTGGATATATGATAATTTTGTATTTTATTCAAAATGTATATACTCCGGATTATGATATTTTTTTTTGCATTATAATCCTTATTTAGCAGTTTATATCATACATACGAGGATCTAGTTAGTGTACACCCTCAATCGAAGTAGAATGATTGAATTAATTCAATATTGAGGGTGTACACTACTAGATCATTATGAGTTGATTTTGTTAAGAATCTTACATAAAAAAAATATGGGATATGAAGTAACATATGAGGAGTATATAAATCAATCGACTCACTTTCAAGTGATTTTTCAAGTTGAAAGTTATGACCAAACCAAAACCAAATCGAGGTTCGATCCAAAAAAAGGAGTAAAAATGATTCATTTTAGAAGTCTCACATTAAAAGTGAAAAAGCAAACTACGCTAATCTATAAAAGATATGAGTCAATATATTCGTCGTCATTTGGTTTTTAACTGAAAGTTTATGGGAAATAAAGAACTACAAAAAATTTAAAACCAAGATATATATCAAAACTGACTATATGTCTATATGATTTGTAAATCTTTTTGATAAAGTCCAAATTATTGCATAAATCTTTGACTATATGTGTATGTATATCAGTAAGTGGAACATGGGTTGTTGCTAGTTTATTTCTTTTAATGGTTGATCATGAGAGATTGTTTTATGCTTTTGATCGGACTTCTATCATTTATTTTGAGACAATAGATATCAAAAAAAGATTTGTCCACAAAAGACAGCATATAAGGTTGGGTTGTTTTGCGGTCGTCCAATTGTAGTCACCATCAAATCGCAAGAACCATAAAACAAAGATGAGGCCCAAGAAAAAGACTGACATGATGTTAATGGGCCTATGATAAGATGAGGCCCATTAAAGGATGGTAAGTGTCCCTACAAAGGGGGAAACAGGTCCTGACTCACTGACTCATCCTCTGTACCCGACCCACGCACTCGCGACCCCTCTCCCTGCACATACATAACCAGTACGGTTCTTCAATCACTATTCATCCCTTTTTTTTTTTCAATAATCATTTTCTTATAATAAAGTAGTGGTTTTCAAACCAGTAATTCGGTAGTAGTTTACTGCTTACATGTTATATTCCAAAACCTCTTATATTCGTGGTCAATTACAAACATTCAATATTGATTTTTCTTTTTTTTGAAGCACATCATAATTAGGTCAACAATATATAGTTTAAAAACCATTAAGAAAAAATAAATTTGGGTAGGATTTTGGTGAGTGGTGTCGATAGAAATGGCAGATGCATTCTTTAGAGATTTAAGGCATGGTACCAACTTGGATCCATTTCTTCGATAACGACTCTTCCTATTTCCACTCTTTTTTTTGTTGTTTCCCTCTTCTTTATTTGATTTCTTCCACTACTCTCAATAGTCAATTCTATATCCCAATTTTACATTGCTGTCAACGGCTAGAAGGGTATTGTAACAGTGCTACTGGATATGAGGTCGAGTCTTAAGTGCTATTATATTTGGAAAAGAGATGATTTACGTTTGTAAATTCATTATAAGTATCATCAAATGCTAGACCCGGACATAATTACTAAACTATGAGCCAAAAATCTGAAACTTTCTGGTTAACAATAAGGAAAAAAAACGGTAGGATATAGTAATAGATAGTTTTGAAGAGCACTTAAATATGTATTAGGATTTCAATTGTTGGTACATTATACAACCTTTTCAAACGCGAGTGAACTTCAAAGTCACAAGTTCGACTTTCGATGTTAAAAAAAAGAAAGAAAGTTTAGACATTCTATTCTCTTATCCAAAAAGATTTTATGCATCATTATTCAAAATTTCTAGTAATCTAAAAAGAAAAAGTTGCAATATCACATGAATCAATAGTACATTGATAATATGGTTACTTATATAATCAATTTTCGGGACATCACCATATGAATATTGTAATGTAGAATGTAATCATGTATGGATGACGAAACTGTATTTTAAAGAAGTTTTTAACTGTTTGCTTATTCATGCATGGATATCTTGCCAGTTACGAGCATTGGATGAATCCTTATCGAACATCACGAGTATAATTATATGTATGATCATGCATTGTTATCGATTATCACTTTATATAAAATAAATATTGGATAATGAGAAGGGATGTCACGCAAGACCAAGAAAGGCTTATGGGAGAATCGATATTGGTCAGACTCATGTGAAAATATATTTCTTCTCCTTCGTCTTGTCAATTTATTAGTCTATCTCTTGTATTTTTCAATTGTTTTGGTATTCACTTCAGAAAATGACTAGTCTTCGTTTTTTTCGTGGTGAGACATTTTTCATTTACATGCATCAAAATGATCTACTATAAATATGGATTGACAAGATTTTTGGTATAATGGTTTGTGCTAGTGTTTTTGTTATATTACTATCCAAATTCATAGCACATGTTGTTGACAAAAAAGCTAAAACCATTTTAAAAATACCAACTAGTAAATTGGCTTAATAAACTGTATTAATGTTTATAAAATGTTTTTTTTCTTAAGGAAAACATGCATAGATATTTTATTTTTAGGATTTGATTGGTTGTTTTTACATTGAAGATTAATATGTTTGCAAAATGTTTGGAATGATTTTCTGTTTGCAAAAATCGGCGATGATTGCATGATATATGAGTGGAAGTGTTGCAATGCTGGAGATTCTCCCATAAACTCCTTGTCTCAACATCTTTTAAAAACATTCAACATCAGTCATGGAACTTTCCGATATAATATTTCCTAGGCCTGGCATTCGGCTAACCGTTCGGTTTCGATTAGTTTGGATATGGTAATATAATAATCATTCAGATATTTTATAAATTTTGGTTCCATTCGGTTCGGTTCGGTTTGGATATTTAAATAGATAACCGTAACCCATGTTTAAAAAATCGCTAGGCGCTAGTCGGGCGGTGAGGGTGGGCCTAGCGCCTACCAAGAAAATCGGAGATTAAACGGAGATTAATCGGGGACTAGTTTTAAGGTTTTCGTATATTTTAAAAACATATTAATCCATTATAAATAAGAAATTTATATACTTTTGTTTTTAAAATTGCATTGAACACATGAAAACAAGAATTTAAGGTCAAACTTATGATTTTTATACAAATTATGAACACAAGTGGGACGTTTTGAATTTTAGCTCAAAAAAAAAAAAATTGGGCTAGGCGACCGAAACCGATTTAGACAAAATCGTCGCGGTCCCCACCCGATCAGCGCCTAGGCGGCCGGTTTTTAGAACAGAACTGTAACTAACCAAACTTTTATTACGTTAAGTTTGGTTCGAGTTTTTACCAAAATTAACCGTTAAAAATACAAAAAGAAAATACAAAAAAGAAAAATATTAGAAAGAAAATTAAAATTTGATTCAATTTTGTAAAAGAGTATTTAAGTTTGACAAATATAACAAACAATATTTGGATATTTTGATTATTTAAAGTATTTGATTGTTTTGATTCTAAAAATAATTAATATTTTGAGTATAATTATAGTTTTGGATATTATTTTTTGGTATTTATAGGTTTTTTGATATTTCGGTTAGCCATTTGGTTATCGGTTCGGTTTCGGTTAGTTTGGATAGGAGATTTTACTAACCATTCAGTTATTTTAAAAACTTCGGTTCGAGTATGATTCGATTTTTTTCGGTTCGGTTCGGCTCGGCCGGTTATTTGGTTAGCAATTTTTTCGCCCGGGCTTAATATTTCCCAAATCCTTGCTGATAGTTCGAACAAAAAATTCTAATAGTATCCTGTCATTGTCTCTCGAACCAAGCAGAGAGATAACATATACATTAATGTTAGAATTGCATGGGTCGACAGACGATGATAGAATAAAGAAAAAAAAAGGGTTAGAATTGCAACGCTGAGTTTTCACAATATCTATTGCAACGCTGAGTTTTCACAATATCTATTTCACAAAGAATGTCATTTTATATTTTTTCACACATATTAAAAAAATTATTAAAATTTATACTTTACTTTTTCTTTATACACTAAATAACATAATTTTTATTAATATATCAAAAAATAGGGTTAAAAATGAATTTTTAATCAAAATTTTACATTAAAACTAAAATCTTTGTAAAACGGAAAGAATATAAAGTAATTGATCAACCATTTATTATATTTTTATTTTTTATTTTTTTTTTTGAAAAAGAACCATTTATTATATTTGAACCAAAATTATATATAAAACGAGAAAAAGAAAAAAAAAAAGTTTTGTTAATAAATGTTCATTCAGATTATAATAAAAAACTTGTAGCTGGTTGATCTTCTACTAACTAATAATCGTATAAGTCGTAACATGATCTTCCATTGTTTAGAGATAGATAACTAATCAAGAATTGCAAAACCAAATAAAAAAACACTAACCAAGAATTGATGATTGTCCAAAGTAGTATACAAACAAAAAACAAAAGATAATTTGTTCTATTTTTGGAATAACTCTTATCCATTTATAGATTAATTAGTTATTAATCAAAATATCACATGCAAATTGATCGTATGCGATTTTCAATAAATTGACATCCACTCAATAAACAAACAAGATAGTAGTAGATACTCTATTTCTAATTATAAAAATAATCTCTGTTTTCTTTCGTGTAATTTATCTTTGTCACTCATTGCTATAATCATTTTTAAATTAACATAAACTTTTGTTACCTTTATTTTTTATTCCACTGTTTAACGCACAAAGCCACAAACTAATCAACAAAATAATAGAGAGACTAGTAGGATGCTTACGTGGCAGTCTAGGGAGCTTCGCTGCTCCAAAAACCATTCCCCTAAAATTGAAGCCCATAGAGAGACTATTAGCAGCGACTTCACTCTTTTTCTTTTCTTCTCTCTCGCTCTTCTAATTTTGCCCTCAAAACCCTCCAATAATTACGAAAACGCCACTGCTCTCCCGTCGGGGCTCCGGTGAGGCCGTTTGGCCGGAATCTGACAAGGATATGGATGTTGGAGTGTCTCCGGCGAAGTCTATACTTGAGAAACCTCTGAAACTGCTCACTGAAGAGGACATTTCTCAGCTTACTCGCGAAGATTGCCGCAAATTCCTCAAAGAGAAAGGTTTCTTCTTCCTCCTTCTCCATTTTTTCCGGTCTTATTGTCCGGATTTTGAAGAGAAGCATCGTACATAGTCAATTTTTTGAAATTCTCTCGGAGCTTTTTTTTGCTCGTTTTTCTCGAGAATGGCGGCTGACACGTGTCGAAACAGGAATGCGCAGGCCTTCGTGGAACAAATCTCAGGCGATCCAACAAGTTTTATCCCTTAAAGCTCTCTACGAGCCTGGAGACGATTCCGGCGCCGGAATCCTCCGCAAGATCCTCGTTTCTCAGCCGTCAAATCCGCCTCGCGTGAGCGTTTTTCTTTACTTTGATTTTGCTTATATTTCTCGTCGATTCGCATAGAAAAAGAAGTGAAAATCTGAGTGAGAATCGTTTACTTGGTTGGTGCTGCTGATTTAGGGAAAATTGTTGGTTCTGTGTGTACTTTTGTTCACAGGTTTCAACAACGTTGATTGAGCCAAGCAACGAGCTCGAAGCTTGTGGCAAGATTCTGGAGGATGACGGCTCGTGCCATAGAAGGGATTCTCCAAGATCAGCTGAGTTTTCTGGCAATTCTGGTCAGTTTGTTGCGGATAAAGATGGCCACAAGCCTGTTTCCCCCAGGTTTACATTTTCTTCTTTGAATTTATGTGATGCATTGTGATCTTAGGAAGTATTTGGTTTGATATCACATCCTTAGAGATAGAAAGTTTCTATATGGATCATGGCTTTGATGGTGGATTGGTCACACTGAATTTAGGTTTAACGAGTCAGATAGAGGTTTAATTTCTATCTGTAGTTGGTGTTTCAGGAAGATCTTTTTGGTTCTGTCTTACTCTTTACTCTTCTGGTTGGAGGATTGGTATGCCTTGATGTGATTATATATTGCTAGTGAACGAAAAATCATTTACTTGTCCATTAGTCAATATGATTTGTGAATTCTGCAATGGTTTCTTTTTACGAACAAGAGTTTTAGGGTAGTCCATGTACGAAGGCTTGTTGATATTATGTGCATGTTTTATAATTACTACTCCAATGCTATTCAAACTAGTTGTTTTAAGGTCTGAAATGTTGCAGCAGAAGCCCAGCTGAAACAAGTGCGCCGGTTGGGCAAATGACGATATTCTACAGTGGCAAAGTGAATGTATATGATGGAGTACCACCTAAAAAGGTAAATGAACAACATTATTTCTGTCCAGCCTGACAATATATAAATTTGGATGGCATGTTTTTGATCATGCATCCTGTACATTGGTTTGCAGGCGCGGTCAATCATGCACTTTGCAGCTAATCCAATTGATTTGCCTGAAAATGGTATTTTTGCTTCTAGTAGAATGATTTCGAAGCCCATGAGTAAAGGTAAGCTTTTGCTAAAGTGTCTGATCTGCTTTTTAGTTGATAGATTGATGATTCAGACTTGAAATGATTTTGTTTTAAGTGTATAATCTAACTGGAAAAATGAATACAGCTGCATCTCAAGATGAGTCTTTCTTTCTTTTTGTTTTGCCAAAGACAGCTTTTATTTTGTCCAATTTTGAAAGGAGGCATTGTTAAATGACCATAGAAGCATGTCTAAAAGCTGTAATGGTGCTGCTACCTCAACTAGCTTGTGTGTCTACAAATGCCTCTTGCCCCCTTTTTGATAGCAACTTTTGATGTTCATCTTTTTTTGAAAGCATCTGAAATTGTGATTTCATTTTGCAGAGAAGATGGTGGAGCCTCCCCAATATGGCCTTGAAAAGACAGCTGCTTCTCGTGATTCCGGTACAAACTGTGCTCAGATTACCTTTAAGATTCATATAGAAACTTATTATTCTAATGATGCATAAAACACCTGAGAGCAAAATTTGATCTACCTCTTCACCTCTACATGCTATGCTAATTGTGTTTACTTAAGGCAGATAAACTTGACTTGCTTGTTCTGTATGACCTGGAAATTCTGTTAATTTAACCATTGTTCTTTTTGTTGGTCTTTCTGAAGATGTGGAGGGTCAGGCGAACAGAAAAGTGTCGTTGCAAAGATATCTTGAAAAGCGGAAAGACAGGTAGTTGTTACAATTATGCCGTGTGCTTATATTCCAAATCGCTGAACCTTTATTTCTGAGCAGAAGATTTTCTAAGACCAAGAAGGCTCCAGGAGTTGCGTCCTCTAGCTTGGAGATGTTTCTGAATCGTCAGCCACGGATGAACGCTGCATATTCACAAAACCTTAGCGGCACAGGGCTCTGCGAGTCACCTGAAAATCAAACAAAAAGCCCGAATCTCTCAGTTGATCTAAACAGTGATCTAAACAGTGAAGGTATGAACAAGCATTTGTTAAATGGTTCCAACGATCTCCCTTAAAACTCTCATTCGCTTGTTTCTAGATAATTAACAAGGTGCCAAAAGAAACTGGAGATGCTATTACGGGTCAAAAGGCGCGCTTTACACAGAAGAACAATTTCATGTTCTTTTAACAAGTTAGCCATGTACAAAAGGAAGAAAAGCAAACAATGAATGTTCTCGTTCACTGTGGAAGAAACATGGCTTAAAGATTTGAGCTGGATCAGTACGGGTCTTGGCTTGTTTTGTTTTACCGGTTGCGTCCATCTTTTTTGGTCTGTAATTTTGAGTAGGTTAGAGAGACGAGAGAGAGAGAGAATGTGGCGTTTTGTATTATGTAAATGCTTGTCTTATAATGAGAGACCTTATTGATACCACCAATCTTTGAGGTTCCAAGTAACACAACTTCTTTGTGATTGATATGTATGAGATAAGCCCTTGATTTGTTTATTTTTAAGACTTTTTGCAACTTTTCTATCTTAAGTTACTGTTTGTTTTTTACCCCAAACAAAATCGGAAAGGCATCTCTAGGGGTAGTTTAGTCTTTTGACTAAATTTTTCTATATTGGTTTCTTCTGTTTAAAAAAAAATGAAGAATTGAGTAATCGCGTGGTTTTGAAGAAGAAGAAGGAATAATAAGGCATAACGAGGAAGACGATGGGTGAAGCGGTCAAGGTATGTTTTATCTTTCTCTCCTCTGCTTCTGATTTGGTTTTCGCTAATCGATCATTCCTAGTTTTCGCGATGCAAGCATGAATCGCCGATTGATTGTTCTCCGTTTAGGTTCCGGTTTGTGATTTGATTCATTTTCGAATCATCACTACTTCTTTTGCTCAAATATTGCAATTCGTATTGTATTTAGTTTTGAAATTGAAGATTTCTCGAATTGTTTGCAGTTTTATAGCTAAAATCAGATTTAATATCTGAACATTGCCTCCCAAGGAATCTAATCCCTTTTTGATGTGCTTTTGTTTAGGATGGAAGAGAAGAAGTGATTGAGGCTTGGTATATGGATGATAGTGAAGAGGATCAGAGACTTCCTCACCACAAGGATCCTAAAGAGTTTGTATCTTTGGACAAACTTGCAGGTTTGTTTGTCTCTTTAATTCAATGTTCTTCTCTCTGTTTCTCTATTTGTTTCACATGTAATTTTTGTGTGTAGAGCTGGGAGTACTTAGCTGGAGACTTGATGCTGATAACTATGAAACCGATGAGGATTTGAAAAAGATCCGCGAATCTCGTGGTTACTCTTACATGGTTTGTTTACATAGACTTTGAATGCTAGATGTTTACTTTTGAAAATGTCTTGTTTTAACTCTCTAGGGGGTTTACTCAATTGTAACACTTACTGAAGTGAATGTGTTTAGGGAAATTAGTTGATGATTCGCAAACAGTTTTATGTGCTCGAGTCTTGGTTTGATGATGGAAAAGTGTTTAAATTCAGGACTTTTGTGAGGTATGCCCGGAAAAGCTTCCAAACTATGAAGTGAAAGTAAAGAGCTTTTTCGAAGAACATTTGCACACTGATGAAGAGATCCGTTACTGCGTTGCAGGAAGCGGTAAGTACTTTCACTTGCTGTTTTTAATTCGATATAGTAGTCATGTTTTTATTTTCTTGGAAAAAAGGTTACTTTGATGTGAGGGATCGCAATGAAGCTTGGATTAGAGTATGGGTAAAGAAGGGAGGTATGATAGTCTTACCTGCTGGAATATATCACCGCTTCACTGTGGACTCAGACAACTATATCAAGGTTCAATGTCAGCTTCTTCTAGCCATTTATTTATGTATTTTGGGCTTACTTAGAAAATTGAAGTATCTTGTTAAAATAGGCAATGCGGCTTTTCGTGGGTGAACCGGTGTGGACACCATACAATCGGCCACACGACCATCTTCCTGCAAGGTACACTGTCCTGTTTTTCCTCATTTTGTCTCATCAAGCAAGAAATTCTGTTAATTTACGGGCAAGAAATGTGATATTTACAGGAAAGAATATATCGATAACTTCATGATCAACGCCTCCGCTTAGAGAGCTCTCTCTCTCTCTCTATCTGGCTTTCTGAACTCAGGATCTATAAACAAGGCCTACAATAAAGAAAGCTTTCCTCTCAAGTATTGGATATTTATATGTATGCATGTGGAGAATGCTGGCTTTTGGTATGCTTGAGTTGTTGTAAACTTAGTTACACTCTCTGATATGTCTCTCTTTACCATCTTTGTCGTATCCGAATATACGAAAAGACTACAGTGGGATCGTATCTTCTTACGTTCGTTCTTGTATGTGCAATATGTCTATCTTTTTTTATTTGCTACGATCGTTCTTGTCACTGTGTCTCTACCTCTCTGGTTTACTCTGAATCATGGTTCCTTTGGTTGTTGTAGAAGGCAGAAAAATGTGGTTTCGTGGTTAAGAGTCTTAAGTCTTAAAAGAGTAGAGAATAAATCATATTTTATTCTCCTATTTATTGGGCTATATTGGGCCTCGACTAATCTTGAATTAGCCCATACGTTTAAGCTTTGTACATGTTCGATTAGGTTAAACACATTCTTGTATATAAGCCGTTTGGCAAGATCAATAAACGCAAGCAAACCTTTAACAACTTCTATAGGTTTCTTAACATGGTATCAGAGCCTAGATCTGACCTCTCTTGATCTAGGTTTCAATTAATTCCGCTTATTTACTTCTTTCTTTGACCTAATCTTTGTTAAATTTTTTGTTAACAAGAAAATTTCTTAAAAGATAATGAGTGCTTCATCATCTTCTTCTTCAACGAGCTCTGCTCTGTCTTCTACTTCCGTTGACACCAAAAGAAAGACAATTTCTCCATATGACTTGTCTTCCAGTGATAATCCCGGCATCATAATCTCGAGACCTTTACTACGCGGTCCGAACTATGAAGCGTGGGCAACGAACATGAGATTGGCGTTAACTGCTCGGAAGAAATTTGGATTTGCTGATGGATCCATTCTAAAACCAGGAGAAGATTCTGAAAATTTCGAAGACTGGGTTGCAAACAACGCTTTGGTGGTCTCGTGGATGAAGTTGACCATTGAAGAAAACATCTCAGACTCGATCTCTCACTTGGATGATCCACACGAACTCTGGACACATATTCAAAAACGTTATGGCATGAAGAATGGGCAGAGAGTTCAGAGATTGAAAACTGAATTAGCAACTTGTCGCCAAAAAGGAACAAGTCTCGATGAGTACTACGGCAAACTCTCGAGCTTGTGGAAAAGCTTGTCAGATTATCAACAAGCAAAAACAATGGAGGACGTCCGCAAGGAGAGAGAAGAGGACAAGCTGCACCAATTGTTGATGGGCCTTGACGAATCGATTTATGGCACAGTGAAATCATCACTTCTTTCTCGTGTTCCATTGCCATCATTGGAAGAGGCATACAATGTGTTGCTGCAAGAGGATGAGTCAAAATTGGCGAGTCGTTTTCACGCTGAGCAGACCGATGGAGTGAGCTTTGCGGTTCAATCACAGTCACGACAAGTCTCCTATGAGGACCACCGGACTCACACTTGCAAATTGTGTGGAAAAATTGGTCATTTCGATGAGAATTGTTTCAAAAAGATTGGATATCCACCATGGTGGGTTGAGAAGCCGAGAAACAAATCGAATCACGCATCCAACAATGGTCGTGTGACAACTTCAGCTCCAATACAGTCCTCACGTGGTCGCAGATCTGCGGATGTTTCTCGTGGTGGTCAAGCTAATGCCATGGTGGTTTCTCGTCCTTTGGTCTCTGCATTAAATACCACCGCGATCACTGATTCTGATAGAGTGGGGTTAAGTGGGCTGAATGATCACCAGTGGAAGTCGTTAGTTCAAATGCTTGAAGAGAGAAAATCAACATCGACAGATCGTCTTAACGGTACGTGGTTTCTTGAATCTTGGATTATTGACACTGGGGCATCTAACCACATGACAGGTTCATTAGATTTTTTGAATGAAGTTTGTGATATGTCCCCCGTCTTGATTAAACTTCCGGATGGTCGATTTACTACTTCGACACGTCAAGGAACAGTTCAGTTGGGATCTTCTCTGAAATTATATGCCGTGTATTTAGTTGATGAGCTGAAATGTCATTTAATCTCCGTATCACAGCTGACTCGTGACAGTGGTTGTGTGTTTCAGATCACTGATCGTCTATGTGTGGTTCAGGAGCGCATTTCGAGGACGGTGATTGGTGCGGGTGAGCAGAGAAATGGGTTATATTTTTTTCGAGGTGTTGCGGTTGCGTCGGCAGTCCAAAGAATGGCTTTACAACCTTTGGAGTTATGGCACAAGCGTTTAGGACATCCCTCTTCTACAGTATTGAATTTGTTGCAGCTTTCTAGTAGTAGTTCTTTTGATTCACACTCTTGTGAGATTTGTATTCGCGCAAAACATTCAAGAGATTCTTTTCCATTAAGCAATACTACTTCTCACAAGGTTTTTGATCTAATTCACTGTGATCTTTGGGGACCATATCGAACTACGGCACTATGTGGATCCCGATTTTTCTTAACCATTGTTGACGATTATTCACGTGCGGTTTGGATTTACCTTCTCACCTCTAAACAAGAAGCTCCAATGCATCTTAAAAATTTTTTGGCTCTTGTTGAACGTCAATTCTCTACTCAAGTTCGCACGGTACGTAGTGACAATGGGTCCGAATTTATATGTCTCCGAGATTTCTTTGCAGAAAAGGGAATTATTCATGAGACTTCTTGTGTTGGAACGCCACAACAGAACGGTAGCGTCGAACGCAAGCACCAACATATTTTGAACGTTGCTCGTGCAATTCGTTTCCAAGCAAATTTACCCATTGAATTTTGGGGATATTGTGCTCTTACTGCGGGGTATCTTATTAATAGAACTCCAACGAAGCTTTTACACGGGAAAACACCATTTGAATTGGTGTATGGTCGGCCTCCTCCGCTTGATCATTTACGAGTTCTAGGGTGTCTCTGTTTTGTCCATAATCAGAAACATGGAGGCGATAAATTCGCATCAAGGAATACAAAGTCTGTGTTTTTGGGATATCCCTTTGCGAAAAAAGGTTGGAGAGTGTACAATTTAGAGACTGGAGTAGTCTCTATTTCACGTGATGTCATATTTAAGGAAGATGAATTTCCTTTTGATACACTAGAAAATGATGAAATAACGGATTCACAGCCAGCACCTATCGTTCTAGCTCATGAAGATGATTCATTAGCTGCGGATATCATCTCTTCTTCTCCAGACTCAACATTACCACCATACGTTGTCACCTCCGGAGAACCTAGCAACACCGACGAACCCGTTACTCCAATTTCACAGACTGTGACACCAGCTCCATCTTTAGTCACGACGACACCAACTTCTATCATAGAGAAGTCTACTTCAATATCTGAACCACCATCACCTGTTGCGTCGATTACGCCTCTGTCTCCTGTGTTGAGTTCACCGGAACAGTCATTGGCATCACCAACTTCTTCGACTTCATCTTCTTCTCCGGCTTCGACTGAAACTCTGGTCTCCAATGATTCTCCGGCTCCGTCTATTCCCAGCCCTGAAAAACTAGGACCAGGACTTCGTAAAAAGAATCCGCCGGTGAAGCTAGCAGATTATGTCACCATGTTGCTTCATCAACCGCATCCTTCGGTAACTCCATATCCCATTGACAATTTCTTGTCTAGTTCACGGTTTACAGAACCATACCAAGCATTTCTTTTGGCTATCACTTCCGGAGTTGAGCCGCAGTTCTATAAAGATGCAATACTAGACGAAAATTGGAGAGATGCGGTACAAGATGAGATTGTTGCTCTTGAAGACAATGGCACATGGACTGTTGAAACACTTCCAAAGGGAAAGAAGGCATTGGGCTGCAAATGGGTTTTTAAATTAAAGTATAATGCTGACGGTACGTTGGAGCGCCATAAAGCTCGTCTTGTCGTTCTTGGAAATAATCAAACAGAGGGTATTGACTTTAACGAGATGTACGCTCCGGTCGCAAAAATGGTCACTGTCCGAGCATTCTTACAACAAGCCGCATCCAATGACTGGGAAGTCCATCAAATGGACGTCCACAATGCATTTTTACATGGTGATCTTGATGAGGAAGTGTATATGCAATTTCCACCGGGTTTTCGCACGGAGGATAAATCACAGGTGTGTCGTCTTAAAAAATCTTTATATGGTTTAAAACAGGCGCCTCGGTGTTGGTTTGCAAAATTGGGATCAGCCTTGAAAGAATATGGTTTTATTCAAAACGTGTCCGATTACTCCCTATTCACGTTTGAAGATTTTACCTCTACGCTTAATGTCCTTGTCTACGTCGACGACATTATTATTTCAGGGAGTTCACTTGCCATCCTCGAGAAGTTTAAGTGCTATGTGAGTGATTGTTTCCACATGAAGAATCTTGGTCTTCTCCGCTATTTTCTCGGTATTGAGGTCGCTCGAAATTCGACGGGCTTCTATTTATGTCAGCGGAAGTACACACTGGATTTACTTACCACGACCGGTGTATTAGGTGCTAAGCCGGTTGCTTTTCCAATGGTGCAAAACCACAAACTTGCATTGGCGAAGGGAAAACCACTTATTGATCCTACACGTTACCGTCGTCTCATTGGTAAGTTAATTTACTTTGGTGTTACACGGCCTGAATTATCATATGCGATTCACATCTTATCGCAATTTATGAGTCAGCCCAAAGAAGAGCATTGGACAGCTGCACTACGAGTCTTATGCTACTTGAAAAATACACCGGGACAAGGGATTTTTCTTCAAGCTAATACACCTCTTGTTCTCACTGCTTGGTGTGACTCCGATTGGAGCTCTTGTCCTACAACCCGACGTTCTCTCACCGGTTGGTTTATTCAGTTAGGAGGATCCCCAATTTCATGGAAGACGAAAAAGCATGATGTTGTTTCACGCTCTTCAGCAGAAGCTGAATATAGAGCCATGGCCGATACGGTTTGTGAAATATTGTGGCTTCGTCAGTTGTTACCAGCCTTGGGAATTGATTGTTCTGCTCCTACGATTCTTCATTCCGATAGTCTATCTGCGATCAACCTAGCCAAGAATCCGGTTTATCATGCGCGCACCAAACACATAGAGAATGACAAGCATTTCATTCGTGACGAGATCATACGTGGTGCCATTGTTCCTAAGCATGTCTCCACGACTTCGCAGCTCGCAGATGTTATGACTAAAACCTTGGGAAGGACGGTCTTTGAGGCATTTCTTCACAAGATGGGTGTTCGAAATCTCCACACTCCACCTTGAGGGGGGGGTATTGGGCTATATTGGGCCTCGACTAATCTTGAATTAGTCCATACGTTTAAGCTTTGTACATGTTCGATTAGGTTAAACACATTCTTGTATATAAGCCGTTTGGCAAGATCAATAAACGCAAGCAAACCTTTAACAACTTCTATAGGTTTCTTAACACTATTTGTATGGATGACAATATACAGTAGTTGAAACTTGAAAGAAAATAAATCGGATATAAAAGTGTACTTAGCAAGTTTAGCAGCCATGATTAAGGCTTATAATAATTAAAGCTTACGTGGCAGTCTAGGGAGCTTCCCTGTTCCGGGAACAATTCCCCCAAATTGACTCCCATAGGAAAACTATTCGACCTCACTCTCTCTCTCTCTCTCTTCACTGCTCCGCTTTCTCTCATTGTTCCTAATTTTACCCCCAAATCCTCCAATTATTACTGAAACGCCACTGCTCTCTCGCCGGGATTCCGGTGAAGAGGCGGAGATGGATGTCGGAGTTTCGTCGGCGAAGTCTATACTTGCGAAGCCACTGAAGCTACTCACTGAAGAAGACATTTCTCAGCTCACTCGCGAAGACTGCCGTAAATTCCTCAAAGACAAAGGTTTCTTCTTCCATTTTTTCCGGTCTTATTGTCTTCTCCGGGAGGATCTTCCTCTCGGATTTTGCCTACTTGAGTTAATTTTTAAATTCGCTACTCTCTCCGAGCTTTTCCCGAGAATGGCGGCTGACACGTGTCGAAACAGGAATGCGAAGGCCTTCGTGGAACAAATCTCAGGCGATCCAGCAAGTTTTATCCCTCAAAGCTCTCTTTGAGCCCGGTGACGATTCCGGCGCCGGTATCCTCCGCAAGATCCACGTTTCTCAGCCGGCAAATCCGCCTCGCGTGAGCTATTTACTTCGATTTTGATTCACACTGAAAAAAGAAGAAGTGAAATTATAGTTTCTGAAGTAGTTGAGAGAATCGTTCCTTAGTCGGTACTGATTTATGGATATTGTTGCTATAGGTTACAACAACTAACGAGCTTGGAGAGTGTGGCCGGAATCCTTTTCAGGAAGATGACGGCCCATGCCACAGAAGGGATTCTCCAAAATCAGCTGAGTTTTCCGGCGGTTCTGCTCAGTATGCAGCGGAGAAAGATACCTGCAGGTTTACATTTTAGTCTTTGAATTTAAGCGATACCTTTCTGCTGGAATGTTGCATTGTGACATTCTTAGTAATAGAAATGGTGGATTGGTCTGACAGTAACTAGGTAACCTCCCAAGGAGAGTAAGCAGTCGTAGGGGCTTATCTGTATATGTAGTTAGTATATCTAGGTGTTCTTGGTTCTATCTTAGTCTTCTTGGTTTTGGTGAAGATGAACTCAGTTCAAATGATGGTAAAAGTTCAGTTATTCATTCCTCAATGGTATTTGTGGTTAATCATCTACGAAAGCCTGATTTAAAGTTTTGCTGACATGTGCCTCTTGTTATATTAACGAGCTAACCACTCCAATGCTGTTTACTTGTCTGTAATGTTGCATCAGAAGCCCAGCTGAAACGAGTGCGCTGGTTGGGCAAATGGCGATTTTCTATAGTGGCAAAGTGAATGTGTATGATGGAGTACCACCTGAAAAGGTAAATAAATCTCGTTATTCTGTCCAGCCTGATAATAGAACTTTTTGATGGCATGGTTTGGATCATTCATCTTGTGTATTGGTTTGCAGGCCCGGTCAATTATGCACTTTGCAGCCAATCCAATTGATTTGCCTGAAAATGGTATTTTTGCTTCGAGTAGAATGATTTCAAAGCGCATAAGTAAAGGTAAGCTTTTGCTAAAGTATCTGATCTGTTTCAGTTGATAGATAGATGATTCAGACTTGAAATGATTTTGTTTTGTGTATCATCAAATTGGAAAAGTTCATGGACCAGCTTTTATGACGGAGTAGAGCTTTTTTTTTTTTTTTTTTCTCTAGTTGCCAAACACTGCTTTTGTTTTGTCCATCTTTGAAAGAAGGCATGGGTAAATTGACCAAGGAAGCATGTCTAAATGTTGCATTGTGCTACCTATACTACCTTGTGTAAAATATGCAAACGCCTCTTGCAACTTTTTGTGATAGTGATTCCACATTCCCTCTTCATTGTTGAGTTTGAACTAGTAGAGAGTTAAATTGAAATTGTGAATTCTTATTGCAGAGAAGATGGTGGAACTTCCCCAAAATGGCCTTGAGAAGGCGAATTTTTCTCGTGATTCTGGTATGAACAGTGTTCATAATACCTTAATGATTCTGAGAGCAAAATTTGATCAACACATCTTCACCTGTGCAATGCTATGCTAATCTTGTTAACTTGGAGGCAAATAAATTTGACTTGCTTTTTGTTCTACATGTTATATAACCTGTGAAGTTGATTAATTTAACCAGCTTTCTTATGTTTTTTGGGTCGTTCTTAAGATATGGAGGGTCAGGCGAACAGAAAGGTGTCTTTGCAAAGATATCGTGAGAAGCGGAAAGACAGGTGCTTTTATATTTTTACGCTTATTCCAAAATCGCTATAAACTGATGTTTTTTTAATGTGCAGAAAATTCTCAAAGGCTAAAAAGTGTCCAGGAGTTGCGTCCTCTAGCTTGGAGATGTTTCTGAATCGTCAGCCACGGATGAACGCTGCATATTCACAAAACCTTGGCTGCACAGGATCTCCACTGCAAAGCGAGTCACCTGAAAACCAGACAAAAAGTCCCAATCTTTCAGTTGATCTAAACAGTGAAGGTAAGAAGAGAATCATATGGAGAGCTTTGTTAAAATAGTTTGGATGATTTCCCTCATAACTCCCCCCGGTTGGTCTCCAGGCATTTAAACAAGATGCCGAAACGTGGAGATGCTATCACCGGTTGAAACATTTGCTTTCTTATAAGCTCAAGATATGAAGAAACCTCTCTTTCTTTTGTGTTTCCGGGTTGCACCCATAATTTTTTGTCTATAGTTTTGAGTAGCTTAGTAGGTTAGTGGTAAGTTCTTGTGTTTCTATTCTTTTTGGCGAGGATATAGTCACAGAGATTAGAGACAAGATAGGGAAAAGATGAAAGAAGATCTTTCATTTTCTGGTTTTGTTTATGTGTAAATGCTGTCTTATTTGACACACTTTTAACGAGAGAGAGAGACCTTTTAGCCAAACTGTCTTCTACTCTTTGAGTCTTAGCTTGACACCAAACTTCACTTCTTTTGACCATTTCTAACCCATTTTTTAACTTTACCTTTGTTACCTTTTTTACAATACTCCCTCCGTTTCATACTCTCTTTCTCCCATTTTATAAGATGTTTTGTATAAAAGCACAAAGATTAAAGAATAATTAATGTTTACTTTTTTTATAGGAATTCAGCCAATAGAAAAAAAGACTGCATAATTTAAATGGTCATAACATACTAAATAAACATAAATTATGCAAAGAAATCTGGGAAAATCTTATAAAATGGAACAAAGAAAAAATGCTAAAACATCTTATAATTTGAGACAGAGGGAGTAATATAAGTCGTTTTAGGTAAACTCACGCCAATTAAGAACATCTACTTTTAAAAAGTTCAACCAATCATAAAAGAGAGTACATAATATAAATAATCATAAAATATTAAAATAATATATAATTTGCATCGAAACTCGAAAACGACTTATATTGTGAAAAAAAAAAAACTTTTTCCAAAGGGAGTACTTTTTGTGTATAGATGAGTGATTTAAGTTCAATCAAAGGATATGATTCTAACTAACGCATTAACATTTTCTTAAAACTTAAAAATGTGTTAAATAGTCTGAAACGGATCTACGTGGAGGCGGCGTTTCCCTCGCCGCACGCCGGCGAAAGGAGGGTAGTTTAGTCTTTTAGCATTTTTCTATATTTTTGTCGCAAAAGAAAAAAAACATAAATCGCGTGGATTTGAAGACGAAGAAGAATAATAAAAGGCGTAACGAAGAAGACGACGAGACGACGAAGAGGAACAAACAACCATGGGTGAAGTGGTTAAGGTAATCGATATTCTCTTGGTTCTGATTCTGATTTCGTCAATCTTCATCGGAAATTTTCTTGTTTCCGTCATGAAAACATGAATCGCTGCCGATTAGGTTCGGTTTTGTTATCTACTGAATTATGTTCTGTCTGATTCGTTTTATCGCTACTTCTTTTGCTTATACAGTTATTTAGTTTGCTTTCTTTATCTTTGATGTTACTTAACATATCGAAATTACTTGCTCAAGAACATTTTTCTCAATTAGTGTTGAAGTTTGATCACTATCATCAAATTGATGTTTTCTAGTTTCACATGTTGTGATGTGCTTAGGAGCAAACAGAAGAAATGATTCAGGCTTGGTATATAAATGATTAAGTGCCTTTTCTTATTTTCTCTTTCGAGCTTAGCATCAGAAATTTATGTTTTCTTGTTGTCTGTGTGTTTTTTGATTAGGATGGAAGAGAAGATGTGATCCAGGCTTGGTATATGGATGACAGCGAAGAGGATCAGAGACTTCCTCACCACAAGGATCCTAAGGAGTTTCTATCTTTGGATAAACTTGCAGGTCTTTGTGTGTCGAAAATGTTCTTCTTTCTGTACTACTTTCTATTGTCTTTTTTTTTTTCATGTGTAATGTTTGTCTACAGAGCTGGGAGTACTTAGCTGGAGACTTGATGCTGATAACTACGAAACCGATGAGGAATTGAAAAAGATCCGCGAATCTCGTGGTTACTCCTACATGGTTTGTTTTTGTCACCTTTATTTGATACTTTCTTATATCTTTGTTTGTTATCCCTTAGACTTGATGCTAGATCTTTAGTTTCGGACAAGTGCTGTTTTGAAAATTCAATATATACAGTGGGCTTACTTGATGACGTTCAGCTGCTCAAGCCTTTTCTATAACTAGCCAAGGACGGAACGTAGTAGATTGTAGCGGGTGTGAGTTGGTTAGAGAGCAAGTAGTAGGGTTTGGTTGAGACGTGAGAGTCTGTCATTAACTATCAAATCTCTCTGGTTCGCCTTCCGTTAACATTAACTATTCAAAGGGACATAAAAAATCTTTTACGTTAATCACTTGTTAAATTATAAACATTTTTCTTTGTGTGTTTGTATATTGGTGATGATGGAATAGTGTTTAAATTCAGGACTTTTGTGAGGTATGCCCGGAAAAGCTTCCAAACTATGAAGAGAAAGTAAAGAGCTTTTTCGAAGAACATTTGCACACTGATGAAGAGATCCGTTACTGCGTTGCAGGAAGCGGTAAGTACTTTTATAAGCTACTTTACTTGATTAAAGTCGACATATATATATATATATTCTCAATGTTTCATTTTTTGGGAAAAGGTTACTTTGATGTGAGGGATCGCAATGAAGCTTGGATTAGAGTATGGGTAAAGAAGGGAGGTATGATAGTCTTACCTGCTGGAATATATCATCGCTTCACCGTGGACTCAGACAACTATATCAAGGTTCAATGTTAGCTTCTTCGAGTCGTTAATTCATCATATATATATATATATATTTGGTTGATTAAATAATCAGAATTTCATATTAAACAGGCAATGCGGCTTTTCGTGGGTGAACCGGTGTGGACACCATACAATCGCCCACACGACCATCTCCCTGCAAGGTACAATGTTCTGTGTTTCCCCTTTTGTCTCATCAAAAGCTTACTCTGCAATTGTTCATCCAAGCAAAGAACAGAGAAAACTGTTTATGGATATTGAAACGGCCATTTTACAGGAAAGAGTACGTCGATAATTTCGTCAAGGTGAATGGGGGCGGTGCCATAGACGCGTCAGCGTAGAGGACTCTCAGTCTTAGGCATCAGATTTCTCTATAAACTAGCATACAATAAAGAGAGATTTCTGTCTGATGTTGGATATATATGTTTACTGTTGTCTTTAATGTCATCCAAAGACACACTTAATGAAGACACTTTGATTCGTGTGGCTTCTGTCATTATGGTTGTGTTGTAACAATATTTATACTTTATACACCAGAAATCAAACTATGCGTTACATATCAATCTCCAAATTTTCCTTAAACTAGCTATAAATAGCCTTAGACGAGAGCCCGATCGTTCAATGATTCAACAGAGACAAAAACTCACAAGTAATTGGGCAACCATGGAAGATCCTTATTGTCTTTCAATGCAAAAGCAACATCATCACTTGGAAAATTCAGCTGCAGCTTCTGCAATCTGTGCTTCTCTCCAGGTTCACAGAGAACGATTCTGCATTCACCAAGATCGCAACTGATTTTGAGAAGAATGTCCCAACCCGGAAAAGCTTCTCCATTGGTTAAGCAAAGAGACGATACTGTTGTTGCCACTCTGTCAAAAGTTGTCTCTGCCATTCCTGTTTTGTAAAAAGCTCATGAACCATAGCCGTCAAGAAGATCTTACTCAGTTTCTATACACTCTTCATAACTTGAATATGCGGTGCCTGAAACATCTCTTGAATGGCTGCTTCAACATCTGCCATAATCACCAGCTGACTCTTTGCAGTTTTGTTAGTCTTCTTTAGACGGTACTCCGCTACTTCTGCTGCACGCCTGCATATCTCAAGCGCACGTCTTGCATCTCCTGAAACCGCAGCTACCTTTCTCGAAGCAAATTCAATAGCTGTCTTCTCAAAAGCATTGATTCCTTTCAATCTTGTAGAAATGATTTCTTGTAGCTGCATGTGGTTATAAGGACCAAAACACAGTCTCTGTATACCCATTTGGCTTGAAATCCGAGGAAGCACCTTCTCTGGAAGATCCATAGTGTTTGCTATTCCCAACACAACCAATCTGGAGTTAGGCTTGGTAGGCCAATCCAAAATATTGTATAAAACAGACTGATTTCTAGTGACTAGAAGATCAAGTTCGTCGATGAGAAGTATACAAGGCTTTTCATTCTCTTTACCAATCCTTTTTCCTTCTGCAAACCTCTCATTCAGAGACTGTAGAGCTTTCTTCCAACTAACGCGATGACCACTCAGCGCTTCATAGATAAAACTGTAAATGTTCTCAGGTGAAGCCAATTTGAGACCATTGATCTCCACAAAGCAATATGGGCTTACGCTTCCCGCTTCAACCTCAGCCTTTAGATTCTTCATAACAGATAGCACAGTAATAGTCTTCCCAGTCCCGGGAACACCATGAATATACATACATCTTCCTAAACACTGATCATCCAAGATTGAACCCTTTATAAATGCGGTGATCTCTTCCATTTCTTTGCTTCTACAAGGAAGAGACTTAGGACTTGTAGCCAACAACAAAGTAGCTTTCGCTTTTTCTAACTCATTCTTCTTATGAAATCTCACATGTTCCGGAATCCGCTTAGTTCCCACCTTTTCAAGCCCAAAGATACGCCCTTTACGAACATTCGCACACGTTAAACCTCTCTTACTCTTTGAATCTGCACAAACACTTTCTTCCTCATCATCACTATCATCAATCTCCTCCTCTTTACCACCATTCCATTCTTGATCACTATCGGAATCTTCATCAGCCGATTCAACCAAACGCTTGAAACTATGGCCAATGCACATCATATTCATACTCACATAAAAACACATCATCACCATCATTACTCGCTTTCGAAAACTCCATAGGACACTTGACATAACAATGCCTAAGAAGACATTCCATCTCTATATCAGCAAAATCATTCGTCAAATAAAGCTCGCGTTTCAGATTATGCCGTTGTCTCCCCGAAACCGTCTCTTCAGGTATCATATACCAACGAGCTCTAATCCAATACACACAACCACCATCATCATCAACTTCTCGATTCGAGCCGCCCATAAATCACCGAAAAGAAGCTTCTCCCTCATCGTTCTCGCCGCTTTCTTCTTCCCTTGTGGTTGTGGTGGCTTATTAATTACACAGAATTGACAGATCCAATCACCTTTGGGAACATCTTTCAATGGCGGTTTCAAGCAATTCAAATGAAACCCGCCTAAACAATCATCACATTCAATCATTATGTTAGTATCTGATTTGAAACACATCTGACAATCTTCGATCTCTGGATCTTCTTCTTCTTCATCTGAATTCGTGTCTTCTCTTCTCTTAACGTAAACATGATCACCAATTTCAAATTCGGTTACATTGAATTCAACTTTATTGTAATAAACTCTGTTCTTCTTCTTCGTTATCGTCTCAGATCGATTTGGGGATGTAGGAGAGAACGAAGCTTCCTCAGCTATCTTCTTCTTCTTCTTCTTCTTCTTCTTCTTGTTAGGAGTTGTTAGAGTTTCTGCAACAACATCAGTGGTTCGTTTTCTGGGAGTTAGATTGATTTCTTGGATTGATTCTCGTCCCGGAAGATCGGTCGGATCATTTCCCAGATCGATCTTCCGGGAAACATGACGAGAAGATCTACGAAGAGGAGTGAGTGTTTCTGGTGTTTGAGGAGTGAGTGAAGTTGAAGAAGGAGATAGATACCATTTGCGATAAATGTTAGTCGGGGTTTTGTTTGGGGATTGGATGGTTTTTGCCTTCGAACTCGGAGTAGCAGCCATGGATGGTGACGCAGAAGGAGAGAGAGACAGAGAGAAAGATGGTAACTTTGGTGGGAGAAGGGGAGATTTTAGTGAGAAATTTGGCGGGAAATGTTGAAGGATAAAAAAAAGTTGTTACTTTTATAGAAAGACTGGAAATGATATTTGGTAAAAGATTCTTTGGAAGAAAATAATTTTGGTTTGTATTAAAAATAGATGACACAAAGACAAAGATTCATTGAATTTGATTTTGAAGATTTAAATTGACTAATGCCTGAAATATATAGTTCCTTTTGAGATTTTAATAGACATATTGACTAAGAGCTAGAATTTTTGAGAGATAAGAGTTATTTCATCTAATTCCTAATTAATCTTGAGAAACTAAAGGCTGATGTTAGTTGGATTTAGTAACCAGTAATAGTATGTTTAGTTGCATAGAAGAAAAAAAAGGTTACCAGTGTAAAATTTGATTCCCTATAGATAGGTTTTGTATGTTTTGGTTTCGGTTCAATTTTGGTTTGTAAGTAAATATCTTGTAACCAAATTATGATTTATTCAATTTTTCTTTTTGGTCCTCAAATCAAATATCAAAATTTCTATATGAAACAATCAAAGTGTAATGTACCATTCACTATTAAAACCATTGAAACTCAACAGTCAATCATGTAAAAGGGCCTATTTCCACCCCTACTATTTGGACGGTTCCGTTTCCTACCTACACAACGAATTGGTGCTTATTTCAACAGATTTCGTAACAAATTTCAAATTAACTACTCATACTCTGTGTTTATAGTTGAATTCAACATTGACTCAAACGGACGTTAGTCAACCGTTAAAATAGTAGAGTCGGATGACACGGTGGCATTTCAAAAGAGGGAAAAGGTCCTATTTCCACTCTTACTATTTGAACGGTTCCTTTTCCTACCCACACAACGAATTGGTGCCCATTTCAACAGTTTTTGGAACAAATTTCAAATTAACCACGTGAAATTTGTGACGACAAGATTATTTTAAGAAGATTTAGCATTAACTACGAAACAGTAGTTGACTTTATATCCATGATTTAGATATAAAATAAATTTAGTCACCTATATTGTTATAAAAGTAATTTTGAAAAAAGAGTAGCTCATTCAAAAATGTAAAGCTACATGCCTACATAGTTTTTCATCTAAAATATCAGTTGACAGTGAGTGAATTAATTCATTATTAGGGATAATATTATCCCACATTGGAAAGGACAAGGGATCTTGACTAGTATATAAGATATATGGGCCTCTCCACTCATTGCCAATTGGTTTTGAGTTAGAAGCCCATATTCTAATATGGTATCAGAGCTCGATCCGTACATGTCCTAATCCAATCCACCATCGGCCCGGCCCAATAGTTGGCCCGCCGGTCCATGCCCGAGCATACCGAGATCAATGGCTAGAGCCATCATCTCGAGAGGGCGTATTAGGGATAATATTATCCCACATTGGAAAGGACAAGGAATCTTGACTAGTATATAAGATATATGGGCATCTCCACTCATTGCCAATTGGTTTTGAGTTGGAAGCCCATATTCTAATATTCATATCTCGGTCCGATATGGAATAACAAAAAAATAATAATTGGTCCGCTCTGTTTTTTAATGGTAAAGTTGAAAATTTCCTTTAAATATATACAGATCTGTTTTTGATCTGCTAGGTTTTTGAATTATCTTGAATAATTGACATTAGCCATGAACTATATAAGTTATATGAGATCTAGTTACCAATTTACCAAGATCTAAATTATGCTTTAAATATATATCATATATACATTGTAATTCAGTGTCACTATATATTAAATCTGAATATAGAGTAGATCTTTGCGAATTATATATAAGACATTTTTTTTTTGATAAAGGATTAAGAGATGAATATCTAAACACTTGATGGTGTTGATATTATTTTTATTGGTGTTTCATTCTAGTAGAATGTATTTAATGTTAGTGCTGCTAGATTTATCTTTTATCACCGAAATCTAAATAAAATCCTGAATATAAAGTTGTCATAATTACACAAAACGATGCTGGAAAATCTGTGTTATTGATATAAGATGGCTACATACATATATATACTAGTTAGGGAACACTAACCCTAATTACATAAATATTAAACCTAATAAAGCCCATAATCAAAGGCCTGATCCGATTCTAATCATAGGCCTGATATCTGTGCATGAGTCGAAACATGTTGCGTTGAAATAGTACCCTTAACAATCTCATCCCGCACAATATGACAATCAACCTCAACATGTTTAGTCCTCTCATGGAATACCGGATTAGCACTAATATGGATCGCAGCTTGACTATCACAAAACACGCTCATTGGACGTGTCATCACAACTCCAAGATCCGTCAACAAACCTTTGATCCACAAGAGCTCAGCAGTGAGCATTCCCATAGCTCGATATTCTGCTTAATTTGAAATTTGTTCCAAAAACTGTTGAAATAGGCACCAATTCGTTGTGTGGATAGAAAAAGGAACCGTTCAAATAGTAAAGGTGGAAATAGGACCTTTTCCCTCTTTTGAATTGTCACCGTGTCATCCGACTCTACTATTTTAACGGTTGACTAACGTCCGTGTGAGTCAATGTTGAATTCAACTATAAACACAGAGTATGGGTAGTTAATTTGAAATTTGTTACGAAAACTATTGAAATAAGCACCAACTCGTTGTGTGGGTAGAAAACGGAACCGTCTAAATAGTAGGGGTGGAAATAGGCCCTTTTCCCGTCCCAAATAATACATCTTTAGCAAGCATGTAAATGTACCATCACTATCTAACAAAAAAAATAAAACATTGGCATATGCTGAAAAAGAGAGGTCTAGTAACAAGACAGTACTAATGAACAACATTATCATCTCAAATGTTTCATCTTTTTCATCATCATCATCATCATTCAATTTCAACAGCAGCCTCAGCTTCAGATACATAATCATACCTATAAAAAATGGATAATAAATTAATAAGCATTTCATCCATGTATCAAAAAGATAAAATCATAGACAACATCATAAAAACCAAGTATATAGCATATACAGATATACTTCTAAAGTTCTAAGTGAATCATCACAACTTTAAACATCTTAAGCAAAATTCCTTTGTTGATTGTAAACGCCAAACAAAACCTTTTGATTGCGTTTCCATTTGACGTTTGCGTTTCAATTCTTAGCAAAAAAATGTTTTCTAGTAACCGGAATTTGTTACTATGTTAAAAATGTGATTCTTGTTTTCTCATGTAAAGTAAACACAAGCAAAAAAAGTGGGTTTGATCTCACTTTATTTTGCGAGCAAGTTGGTATATCCCTGTAGCTGCCATAGCAACATTAACACTAAACAGGTTCCAGTTTTTCTGTAAAAACAAAAGTCAAAATCAACAAAAAATCAGATAAACCAAAACCAAGAATATCCATCCAATCACAAAATCATTACAAAAACTAAAACTCAGACAAACAAGATAACAGAATATATAATAATAATCCCACTAAGGAGAAGTAAACAAAACTTACAGGAGTAATTACAGTGCTGCAACGACACCAAATCATTCCAGTGCATGTCACAGCTAATACAGTAATTATAGATAAAATTTAAAAAAATGTAATAATTAAGAAGATTAGAGATACTGTAACAGCAAGAGTAGTAGTAATTTACCAATTTGCTGAAGGTATGAAATATTTTCTGGAGGTTTTTGGAAATCTGCAATGTTAGCAATGCTTATACCCCATTTAAATGTTGGAGCCCAGAAATGAACTGATTCAATTAGAGAAAAAAAGAGAGTCAAACTTTTTACAATTAGAATCCATTCTTTATTAGAGGATTTAAAGTGATATGTTCTAAGCATTGCTAACATTTTCCAATAGTAACGTTTCACTACAGTCTTTGATTCATAAATAGATTGGTCAAGACTCAAGACATCCAAATTGGATTTTCAAGTCTCATCACTTAAAAGGAAAAAAAAAAAAAGGAAACTGAAGAAAGAGTAATTATTAATGAAACAATGTGAGCAGAAACCGAGTTGACTCACTCGTCTTTGGTCCTGCCGGGTGATTCCAGAGAGCTTGAAGCTTAGATGTCGCCATCAACTTTTGTTTTCCTCGGAGATTCTCTTTTCTCTGTCTTGTTTCAGTCTCCCACATAAATTTTAACGAAAAGATGCTACTCTCAAAACGACGTCGTATAAGAAATATTTCAATATATTTTTTTTTTTTTGGGCACACAGAAAGATTTCAATTAAGCCACTAATCCTCTTGATTTTTAATTTTTATTTTACTTTCACAAATATTTCCGATTGTATTCAATAATTCATCGAGCGTAGCCTTGTGGTGGCCAGATCTTTCCTCTTTTTAAGTGTTTTTTTGTTTGTTCATTAATTCTTTTTTTCTTTTTTCTTTTTGTTCTTGGGAATCATCGACGCTTTGATTAGGCTTTGATCAGACTGCTAACCCATGGGCTTGAATTGAGATGAGGTGATTTGTTTTTGGTAGAGAGGAGTCGAATTCAATTTCGTTTCGTCTTGGAAGTTACTTAACTTTCATTATGGCTGACACATGATGACTCTATTGGTCGATAATAACAAGGGAGCGCATAATTAATTATTCTTGGCTCTGGCTTTATTTCAAAAGATTGCAAAAACGCTCAAGCTTTGTGGATAGAGGCTAAAAATTATTTTTTCTTCTTCTTCATTCACATTATCATATAAGAAAAACTGTTGAAGTACTTTTTCAGGTAGGTAACCAATAAATAATTTTTGATTCATGTTGATTGTTGACACAGCTTGTAAAACTCATAGTATTTAATCAAAGTATCAAACTATGCGTTACATATCAATATCATTCTCTCCAAATTTTTCCTTAAACTAGCAAAACAAAAACCTTAGACGAGAGTCCCACCAGTGACGTACTCAGTGAAGGCCAACGCAACGAGACCAATCATAGCGAACCGACCGTTCCATAGCTCGGCGTCTGAAGTCATGAACCCTTTTGACTTTGACTCTGCCCTTATTCCCTTGAACAACGGAACCATCGATGCCAACGTCAGCAACGCCGTTGTGCCTAGAAACCACCCAACGCCACCGTTGGAGATCTGAGCAAACACGTTTTCTCCCTTTGACAACTCCACGGCGATGGCCGCCACGAATCCAACCATTGCTAGTCTCCCGTTGATCCTCTCAGGTGCTGGACCGCTAAACGCTAGTAAATCTCCAAACTTCGTACTCACCTAAACAATAAACAAATTATTCAATTCACAAATCTAGTTTTTATCAACAACAACATGACTTTGATCATTAGATCATATATACCTTAGGCTTGCTAACTGGTGGAGGAGGAGACGGTGGCATTTGCGGCGGAGTAGCCGAAGTCGAGGTCGAGGGCACAGAAGGATCTTCCTTGATAGGATCGCCCTAAAAAATTAGTCAACGTAAGGAACGGTCAGGATTAAAAGTCAAATAAGTAACGTATGGAAGTGGAAGGACTATGAGGTAGTATATATATATATATACCTGAGCCATGCATCTGACTCCCACCGGAGCATTCCTCTTGAAGAGGAGTTGGTTTGTGTTTCTGATGTTACGTGATGATTTCAATACACCGGAAGGAGCGGCGAAAACTGACTGCATGTTAAACGACGCCGTTGCCATTTCTGATTAGGGTTTTTAAACACCGAAGATCGAAGAAGAATGAAGAAGCGAGAGAAATGAATAAACTTAAGACTTGAGAAGTGAGATTGAGCTGGTTTGTTGTGTAACTTAGGATTAATTATCTCTTTATTTATAGAGTTGGTGAAGGTAAATGATAGGTCCAGTATTTTCTGAATTTTATTTATCTTTAGTGATTTATGGGATACTATGATTACGTATTTTGTTTTTGTTTTTGTGGTGTGTAGTAGAGTAATAAGTAGAAACAAATCTATCAAAGAAAAGAAAATTTGAATTGAAACTTTTTACTCTTTTGGGAAGAAAAAGTTTCCTCAAAAAAAATGTTTTCAAACTTATGAGATTTTTTTCCATCTATAGTGTAACAAATTAAGGTTATACAAAAGTTTGCCAAAAAAAAAAAAAAAAGGTTATACAAATAAATTTGTAAATCGAATTATTTCTCATGAAATCGTTGGAAATGTGAAAAAAAGAAAATATAGTATATCGGAATTGAGTTGAACGCTAAACACAAAAACACGTAGCCATGAAAATTTGAAAAATGAGAGGAAAGTGAGGTTGAGATCAGTGAGAGGCCACGTCTAGTCGAAAAAGTGCAAGTAAATTGTTGACGTGGCCTCCTTCATCACACACAGACGACACACGTCTTCATTGTCTTTTTCTGATTGGCCAAGGCCAAGTGGGTCACGTAAAAAATAAGAAACTTGTCTCAAAATATTGAAAACAAGTTAATGGCTCACAATATTCACTTGGGAGATTTGTTTTTGGTAGAGAGAAGTCGTATTCAATCTCGTTTCGTGTTGGAAATTACTTAACTTTGTTATGGCAGACTCATGATGACTATTTTGATCCTTTCTGTGTCCCATTCATGGCTTCGTGCCCAATTCTCCTACGTGCACTGTTTTTTAACACATTAGGACGGTAATTAATAACAACACAATTATTTAGATATACCATCGATAAGTGTGGTACTGTCTTTGCTAAATCTCTTAAAAGTCTTAATATATTTTGAGAGAAAACAGATATCCAGATTAGACACTAGCTAGCTTTTTAATTGATTTCTAGCCGAGGATAATAAACTTATCGCATATATTACTTACATTTTGTAGTTTCAAATACGAAAAAACTATGACCAATAGTAGTGTGAAGTGTGTATTTGATACTTTTGAGTTTTGAGTTCAAGACGAAAAAGTGTTCACGTGACTCGTGAGGAACTAAGGCACTCTAAAGGTCCTCGAAAGGCCGAACATAAAAATCCCCGAAGCCCATAACACAAGTGGCCTTATTATCCCCAAAGAGGAACACAGAAATATGAGTCTTCGAGTGGACAAAGAGAAGGAACAACTTTGGGAAATCAATAGTAGCTTGTACAGTAGAACCTCTATAAATTAATACTCGATAAATTAATAAAATTGTCCGGTCTCAAGTCCGACCAATGTAAATTTTGACAAAATTAGATAAGATAATAAGATAATAATTTTTTTAGAATCTCTATGTAAATCTATGGTCCCATTAATATCCTAAATTAATAATCATATATATATATATATATATATATATATATATATATATTAGTTGTTATACTAAGGTATGCTTTTATTTGTTTTTTTATTAAATTGAATTTTGGTTAGAACATATGTCTAACTTTTATTGAATAAAACAATTGGTCTATTGTGGTTTTAAATTATAGTGGTGTAGTATACTCTATAACTGTATCATAAAATAGTCAAGATTTTCTGTAAGTTTTTAATTTTTGAATATGCATCATTTTCATTACGATAGTCTTATAACTGTTAAAATACGACAATTGAGATCATTAATCATTAATTTGAATTTACGTATATCGTTTGTATAAATAAATTCATCTATAGTCTTTGTAATTTTATTGTCTAATTTATTTTCGAAAAAGTTTTTTTAAACTATTAAAATTTCAAGTCGAGAACTACAAAATTTATAAATTCATTTATTTCTAAAATTTTAAGAATTAAAACATATCTCTTTATAAATTAATAAATATTAATTTACACTATAAATTAATAAATATTAATTTATAGATAAATTAATATCACTATAAATTAATAAAATATCATGGTCCCAACAATATTAATTTATAGAGGTTTTACTGTATTTGTTTGTGACGACTTTCATATGAGAATTGTATTTAGGGAGACTCACAAAAATGCCCCTTTTTCAATACCCCTTTTCAAAAATGCCCCTTTTGGCTGTCGATTTTTTAAAATATCCATTTTTATGTACAAAATGACTAAATTACCCTTCTTTTAATAAAAGATATCACAAATAAATAAGAAAACATGAGAATGTGCACACATCAAAATTACAAATTTTATTTTGTAAAAACTTGTAAAACCTTTAAACCTTGTAAAATTTTTCCGTAAAATTTTTTCCCGCCAAAAGTTTTTTTTTGCGGGAAAAGTGATTCTGCAATTTTGTTGGCGCTAAATTTTTGGCGGGAAAAATTTACAAGGTATTTTAAAGGTTTTTTACAGGGTATTTATAAGGTTTTACAATGTATTTCAAAAGGTTTTACAACGTATTTATAAGGTATTTATAAGATATTATAAGATTTTATAAGCTATTTTATAAGGTTTTACAAGTTTTTTTATAAGGTTTTACAAGTTATAAATACCTTATAAAACCTTATAAGTACCTTGTAAAACCTTTTAAAATACATTGTAAAACCTTACAAAACACTTATAAATACTCTGTAAAACCTTTAAAATACCTTGTAATTTTTTCTCGCCAAAAATTTTCCCGCCAAAAAAATTTTGCCAAAATAATTGCGGAATCACTTTTCCCGCAAAAAAATTTTTTGGCGGGAAAAATTTTACAAGGTGTTTTAAAGGTTTTACAAGTGTTTTGGCGGGAAAATTGCGGGATCACTTTTCCCGCCAAAAAATATTTTGTATTTTGTAGACCTAATTTTGTTTCAAATAAAGGTAAAATGGTCATTAAAAATTAAAAGAGGGCAAACTTAAAAATGGACTCTCAAAGGGGGAATTTTTGAAAAGGGATATTGAAAAAGGGGCATTTTTAAGTTTTAACAATTTCTCTTGTATTTATGAGGTTATTGTGTTTTTAAAAAGAGTAAACGAAAAAAATACGAGGGTCATCTTTTTTTTTTTTGTCATCCGCAATTAATTAGAGCTCAAAAGAGCCATTCCTGAGGAATGTTGTTTACATAGGTGATATGAAGCGGTTCTGTACGAACTTTTCGTGCCAGGTTATCCGCCTTAACATTAGCCCTACGAGAAAATAAAGATAAAGAAAAAGATGAAAACTCCTCCTTGTCGCTCTGAAATTCCTCCAAATACACTGAAAATGCCGGCCATTCGGTTGGAGAAGACACTATCTTCACCAGGTCTGAACAGTAACTAAAGAACGCTACCTCTTGATTATCTGCACCAATAATACGAGGGTCATCATTCATTTAACATTACAATTAATTTTTGATTTATCCAGTAGTTCACACCTTTTCCTGATTATAGACTTAGGTACAAGTACTCTTTGGGATCTCGTATAAATCAAATGCATATACATTTGATAAACTAAACCATGAAAGAAGGAGTTTTTAACTAAGATGATGATTATTGACGTTGATATAAGTTAAAGAGTAAATCGCATACATTTAGATTCTAGTTTTGCTGTATTTGGAACATAAATGTTATAACATCTTTAAGCCCAATTTGGAACAAGGCCTTGCCCTTAATTTAAGCCCAAGTAATATTATTCTTTTGTTACGTTACGTATATGAATGAGGGTAGGTCGACCCTCAGATTTCTTATTTGCACATGTTGAATGTGAGCCCAAAGCAGCCACCAATAAACTGATTCAGCTTTGTCATTTTCTATGCTTTTTATGCAAGAGGAAACATTAAAATATCATCGTTTTAAACTTTTAATTATGTTTTTGACCTGTAAAGGATGGACAAAAGATATACAAACAAATCATTTAGCCGTCAAAAAAGAAACAATAGCTCAGATATAATTTCCTGGTAGCTTCAGCCTTCAGGTCAAGATAAAGTCAGGTCAAAAGTGATAAGCTCTATACTGAGTCCTCAAAATGTGATTTTAAGTTTAAGAAATTAACACACTTTAACTTTTCTTAAGCCGGCATTATTTTTATATTAATGCCTTCACAATTGCAAAAATACTATTTTATTAATGTAAAAATATACTAGTATTAATTAGAGGGATATATATATAAAAAGAATATTGGTGATATCATCTTTTTCTTTTTGTTGATAAATGAATATTGACGATGTCGCATGGTCCTTCACGTGATTACAATATTTATTTGCCTAGTTGATAATATCGTCATCAATATATTGAGTCATGAGTCATGAATCATGAGCAAAGTGCTGGTCGAACATCGACGTATTCTTGGATAAAGTTCGATTCTTGAATTGGTCCTAACTCAAATTCTTGTGTTTTAAAACAAAATTTGTTTTGTGTTGCCAAGTAAATAAATATTTCCTTCAGTTTAGTGTTTTTTTGAATCGTTTTAGGTTAAGAAACGTAAAAGAAATTAAAGTCATTACTTTAAACGAAAGATTGAAAGTTTTCCTAGGAATGCTATCGTGGATACACTTTTATGGATATCATTTTGAATTAGTATTAAAGTAATTTTCTGGATGAGTTTTTTTTTTTTTGGGTTGGACTTTTGATAATACCAAACGGATGATCATAAATCAGTTTATGGGCATTAATGCATTCCAAACTTTAAATGGGATTCAAAATCAATGTAAATCACACAATATATATATATATATATATATATATATATATATATATACGTGATTTTAATACATAATTAACATCAATATGTCTAAATTTTTTTATCAAATGAATAATCTAAAAACTGACTGTTTAGCTTGATACTCCAAAATTTTACTTTCTTATGTTTCTTTTGTAAGTATTTTTTCTCTATGTATGATTTAATTAATTAATATATTGTTGAAAAAAATATTAAATAATTTTAATATAATCAATATTGTATGTGTCAGTCCATAGTCTACGGATCTTTGAAAAAAAGAAACAAATGCTATTTGCAATATTTCATATTTATGTATTAAATACTTAAATATAATCTTAAAATTACTTAAACTATGTCAGTAATATCTATTTAAATACT